TGGAATCATCACTTGGTTGCACGGGCTGCTCATTCTGTTTGTAGACACAGAGTAATGTTTGGCTTTCCACCTACCTGCCAGGGTGGGTTAGAATGAATGACACTGGGTCTGTCTGCAGAAAGAAGCTGTATGGACAGCCAGGGTGGCTTCATCGAATGGGGCAGCAGGAAGTTGCCAGGCTCCTGGGGCTCCCAAAGGCCAGGAGGGCCCTAGAGGCTGGCTCATCATGCTTTACTCAGACAGGGAAGACCACGCCCGTCTCCGTAGAACAGCACTGTGTCTCACTTGATGATACATTGGGCCAGCCAGGGAGTTGGACCTGCCGCAGAGGCAAGTGGTTGCCAATAACCACTTCCATATGCAGCATCAGCTGGGCAGGATTCTGACTTGTACTACCCTCACCTGTACTTGGCAACTCAGGCACAGAGAACTCCGGCTCCCCAAAGTGTTTCTCTTATTAATTACAGAGGCCCTCACTATTGGGACTCACACAGAAGCTGACTTTCGTGGCTGGAGGTGGGCCCCGACCCTCTGCTCCACATTCCCACCCCCATGCTGTACAAGGTCTTCCTCAGTCCTCTTCCCAAGAGGCGCGGCCCTAGTCCTGCCTTGCCATACCCCACATCTCCCACAAGGGGGCGCCCCTGGAGGGCAACTGGGGCTGAGGAATTTTGGAAGCGCTGAAGTTTTCTCCTCCTGTCCTGCAACTGGTTTTCACTCACTCAACGGTGAAATTTCTTTGTTGCAGTGTTGGAGTCTGAGATAACACTGTTGGAAGCTGCAGGCAAGAATCTTAGCTGATACCATCTTTCATTATGTATTGTTCAGCAGTTTTCTAAACTAAGGAGGCAAAGTAACAAAGACATGCAGGACTCACGGGCCCTGGATGGAGGCTGGCAGCTTCAGACAACGAGCACCACTGAGGGACGAGCAGGAGGTGCCTTTGGCTGTGGAGCTCAGGTAGGAGCCTGGGGAGGGACGACAGGAGAGGGGTCCTCCGGCAGAGAGGCCCAGAGCCCCTCTTCGTGGGAAGGCTGGGGAGGGCGACTTCAGAGGGTGGGCAGAAGAGATTCGAGGGGGAAAAGCAGTGCACAGAGGCCCTGAGAGATCAAGGGAGAGAAGAGGGCAAAAGAAAAAAAAAAAAAAAAGGTTTTGCCCCGAGGAGGGCAAAGGAAATAAAATGGTCTCACGGTGTGATGGGAAAGGCCGACCACAGGCGGGCGGGAGAGGAGGGCACTGAATCAGAGAATGAAATTGGTTTGAAGTTGGTTCCAACTTGGCCGCCCCGGAAACTTCACAAGAAATGAGAGGCTAGGAGACTGACAGGAAATGTGGAGTGGGATAAGAAATTCAAAGTGAGTAGGTTTGCCTCAGTGGATCTAATCACGCTGGTTGTGTGTCAGGGAACAACACCTACTCTGGACTTTGAACTAAACTACAAGGAATTCTGGTCCGCTGGCCTTTTTCGGGTCGTCTCCACTCTAAACTAGTGTTTCACTTTCCTTTTCTTCCTTCGAATCTCCCACCGTTGCTCTAGGTAATGGGCTCAGAATGAGAAATTCTGTATTTTAGCCCAGGATTTGCCACTTATTGGTGAGATTAGTTTAAGCGAGGAAACACTGGTGTTTCTTTTTCCTTTGTCTATAGAAGGGAGATAATAATATATTACTGATGAGCCTTACAGGATTTTTCTGAGGATTGAGTAAGTAAGTTAATGTGAATAAATGCTCTTAATAGATTATAATTGCTAGCTAAATAAAAGTTGGCATTAATAATAATTAATCAGTTAATATACCCTTACTACTCTCAGCAGGGGATTTGCCTACTGAGCTTTGGAGAAACACACACACACACATACACACACACACAGATACACACACAGGGTTCTACTATTTGTGGGAAAATTTAAATACATAATTCCCCATTTCCACAGCACATTTTTTAATTTTTAAAAATCATTTATTTATTTATTATTTGGTACAAAGTGTTGCTATGTAGCTTGGATTCATAGTGATCCTCCTGTCTCAGCCTCCCCACCACTGGGATTACAAGCGTACATCATCACTCCCGGTGGCCAGCACAGTGTGCCGGGGCTTCAGGGACCTGCACAGCATGCAGTACTGGGGATCGAACTTGGGACCTTATACTTGCCAGGCAGGCACTTAAACTGCTGAGCTATCTCCCCAGCCCACCACAGCTTGTTAAAAAAAATCTTTCATTTACTTATTTGGTACAGGGTTTCACTATGCAGTTCGGACTCATACCTCCACAGCACTTTTAAGAGTAATCTCTCTGACAGTTGCGTGGGAAACTTTGTGTTCTTCTTTTGGCTTTTAGATATGCATTCTCCTGGCCTCAGCTACAGTTTTCTACCTCCCAAAGTGCAGGTAGTGATGGATTGCGTCTGCCTGGCTACCTGGGAGAGTTATCTGTGTCCCGGGTCCTGCCAGCAGAGCGAGGCCCCTGTGGAGTCTCGGACACAGCCAGATGCCCATGCTCTGAAGAAGCAGTGAGAGGCTGAGTGAATCATCGCCTTGCTATGTTCCCTGTCTAGGGTGTCCTGAACAGGTCCCTTGTCCTCACTTGTTCTTTGCATTGTCTCAGGTGGAAGGAACATTGGGCTCTGTAGTCTTGGTCTGACTGGTGGAGATTTGGCTTTGGCACCTGTGACCGTGTTTGTGCTGCCCTCATGTCCCCGCTGCAAGTGTTCGGGGAAGGCGAGGTAGACCCTGGAGTCGAGAGCTCAGCTTCTCTCCCTCTGTCCAGTGAAGTTGCCACTACCCTTTCTTCCTGCTGCCAGATGCATTGTCAAGGGCCACCAGGGGCCGTGCCATGTGTGCCACCTGCAGCTCTGCACGCGACATCATCGTTGTTCTCCGGCACACTTCTTTCTAGTGGTTAGCTTACGTTGTGCAATCTAAATTATTATAAAAGTTCTTTCCCCAGCCCTTAATATGTTCTCCTAACCCTTTTCATTTCCACTGATCAACTGATAGATCAAATATTTATAGAGTTACTAATTTTAACTCATATACTTACTCATCTTTAAGAACTTAGAGTACTATCTAAATCACATGTGTAGATGCACAATATACATATATATGACTATTCTACCTTTCTAAAGTCACCAAGTGCATATGTACATCTCCATTCAAATATCTATCTATCTATCTATCTATCTATCTATCTATCTATCTATTTCCCGTGTATGTCAAAATATGTACAAATGTGTATTTCAGCAGAAAACATACGCAGTACTCACCTGTTATTCCCATTTACAGCACAGGTTTAGGTGGGAGAAGGAACAGACACACTTGCTCTGTCAGTAGTTCAGCTGTTGTAGTGTTCAGAAATGACCACAACACACAATTCGTGTGGTTAAAATCATGGGTCAATTTCTACCCTGTTCCTAGTAATGAATATCAGTAGCTTTCCTTTTCTAGACAGTCAGTAGCTTCAGGTATTTTCAGATGAGTTTTTTACAAAATACATTTGCAAAGTCAATTATTTTGAATCTCATCTGAGGCAATTAAAAAACATCCTGACATTTAAGGTGATATTTTTTCCTAAGTAAAATAATTATAAATAATACTAATTATGAACAAATCATTCAGTTACTCTCAGTCTGGTTCAACCTTTAGGTTAATAAACCAATCCATTAAAATTCATCTTGCACAAAGGACCAATTTGTAAAAAAAAAAATGTAGCGACCTTTTGCCACAAGTATGATTGATATTTTCTTTAACAATAATCAGAACTGTCTTTCCCAGAAGACAGTGTGGTCAAGTGGTAGGTATAAAAAGCTAGAGTTCTTTTGTGCTCCTCTGAAGAACAATTCATAGACAGGTACAAATTAATGTTGGTGATCTTGAAGAAGATAAGAATAGTGTGCAAAATTAAACCTTTAATCTCAAAGAGTACCTTAAAGTAGTATCTGAAAGTTTCACCCAACCCAATAATATCTTTCATCATGCCAGGAAGAGTAGGTATTTCCCTTTGCCTTTAGCATTCTTATCAGATGCATAGGGTAGAGATTCGCAGATATAGCCCACAGGCCAGACCCAGTACACCCTTTGTTTCTGTAGGTAAAGTCACACTGGCATAAAACTCTATCCATTTATGCATTGCTAGTGATTGCATTTCTACTACAAAGGCAGAGTTGAGTAGTTAAAGTAGAGACCAGATGGCCTAAAAAGCCTACAATCTTATTATCAAGTATATTTGCCAAAACTTCATGTAGGGTAATAAAAAATCATTTTTGAATTTACAAAAGCAACCAGTATCTGACTGGTATTGTAGGACTTATAATGTGTGGCCATTATGTTATGTTCTAGCAAGTAGCATCATGCTTAAAAAACTGATGAAAAAGTTGTAACTGTTTTATGGTCTTTGGTCATTAAATGGTGTGGGTAGAACTTGGCTTCTGTCTATACCTTAGCAGCAGCCTAGAGAAAATTCAAGAGAGGGATCTCTATGGTACCAGTGTCACCCAGCTTTCTCATTGTCCTGAGCTAGTCATTGCCAAGAGATAATGGAAGACGCAAAACTCTTGTTACTCTGTTCCCCTTTATCTGACCTTGGCCTGGATGATCTTAGCCTCATCCTCTACATCCCCATTCTCATAACCAAGTATTATACTAATAAGAAAGGAAAGCAAAGTGCTTTGTAGTCAAACAAAGCGAAGCTTTATTGCATCAACTCTCACTTATCCATCTGCCCTGAAATTGACACTGTGGCGTAGATATTCCAAAACAGAAAATGACAGAAAAGTCTTTGTTTTTGCTATACATTATCTTTTCAAAAGTTTGCTTTTTGAAACAGCAGATCCCCTTTTTATTGCTTTTCTCTATTCAAGTTAATATCAAAACTATATCTCTCTCCATGGACTTGTGATATTCACTAGCCAACTAAACTATAAGGAGCTGGATATCAGAGGAAAGAAGCCTGGAATAGCTTTGAGATGCACAGATGCATAAAGCAATAATGGTTTGTCAACACCAAAGATTTTCTTAATCTTATGTCTTCAAGGAAAGGAGGTAATAGATAGAGATGAATAATAAAATTGTACATTAAGTCTTTTTTAATGATTCTAAGCCAAAGTCGGGACTCAAAAATTGAACAAATTCAATTTTCTGTTCAGTCCACATTTATTTGGAGCCTTCATTCTGACATGACTACTAGAAGTTGAAGGACTAGGATTCAGATTTCTTCATGGAGTGATTTGTTAGTGGACGAAATATGTCCATGTGTGTTTAATAATACACATTAGAAATAAGCGACAGAGTCGGGCCTAGTGGCATGTGCCTGTAATCCCAACACTGGGGGGCTGAGGCAAGAGGATTTTGAATTTGAACTTTACCTGTGAAAATTAGTGAGATCCTGGTTCTAACTAAAAAATAAAAGAGGGCTGTGATGTAGGTTAGTATTGGTACAGGAAAACAATGTCATAGAGTAAAGTGAAGGATAAGATTTGTACATGTTCAGGAAACACTCATTTTATATGGTGCTTATGGTTACTGGGGATGAAGGAAGATAAATTGACTGAAATAGCTTGAACTCTTAAGGAGGGCTTTGGATTATAGGTTAAGCACTTTGATGATTATTCTGTACATTGTGAAACATATTGACCATTTGTGTGCAGAAGAATTACATGGTGGCATCTCTGGTTGGGATCAGAGCACAATGGATAGTTTGGTAAGAACCTGAAGGCAGGTGTCCAGTTGGGTAATATCAGAAAGTAGTATCTTACCACGTGCTCTCATGACATGACTTGGTCTCTCGTGACCCCAGCTATTGTAGGTTAGAGCATTGGTTGAGGGCTTTCTCAGGGCATTTATTTAATGGCATGCCAGTGGCATTTACTCACAAAACCAAAAAGCGATTTGGGCCAGAAATAGGGGTTTTGGTTACTTCCCCAGACAGGATGCAGTTTGGGTAATTATATACATGATTCACTGAGG